CTAAAATAGCTCATAGTCGCAAAAAATAAAAAAACGTCGCAGCTACAATGAGAAAGTAGCTAAATTTGGCGACAAAATCCCCAAATTGGCAACACTGCTGGTATCCTGCGGCTCATGAATATTAATAACGTAACGAGACGTTCGAACAGTAGCACTAAACGATTGGCTGAGAAGGCGCTATACTGCTGATGAATTTACGAATTCTACTACGGGGAAGGATTGAGCTTATGTTTATTAAATAGGTGGCGTGAATACCTGCGTAATGTTAGGAAGCAATATGGCCATATTAATATTCATGCGCTGCGCTTTCGTCATAGTACGACCGGTAATATTGCGCGCGGATGAAGGGCGGGTGTTTATTGCACCTCGTCACCTGTCATTAATTCACCTCTGCAATGGGATCCACAAGTGCATGAATGAGGAGTGCTCGGTGTCTTGTCGCCTCTCAGATGATAGCCACAGAAAAACTTCTGCTTTATGACAAATTAACAATAATGGCCGTGTCTAATGAACATACCTTCTCCTTTTTCCCGCCGCCCCTTTCCTCACTTCCGGTACAGCGGACCACGCCCCATGTTCTTCTTCTTCTTGTTTTATGGCGAATAACTCCTTAGGAGCATTATCGCCACCTACTGTACTGGCTGTAAAGTAAACTTTCATAGGTGACGAGTCTGAAATTTGAGTACCTAAACACCCAAAAACCATGGTGGATGTTTCCTATTCTCTCCAATCTATGGCGCACTCAGATCACATGCTCATGCCACGCCCCATGTTTGTTTGCAGTCCTTCGATTTATTTGCATTTCTGTTTTAAATTCTTTTTGGTTGCGTCACCCTCCACAACTAGCTAATATTAACATTGTCACAAGTTTTACTGCCAGGAAACTACAATTATTAATTTTTGTAAGATATTCTGTGAAGTCTAGCTGTCTTGCTTGCAATTCTGGCAGGCACAAATATATGTCTATGTTTAAATGGTTTCATTTTAAGGAACTGCCTGATAAATGAAAACTTAAAAAGCAAGGTATCAGCATTAGTGAAAAAGTTTGTGACATATTCTGCATATTTAATTCCTGATGAGTGGTCTGAATGTGTTTTTCTGTGATGTTCTTGTCATTTCTGCGCACGGCTGTAAAAACTGAATAATTTGGAACATCAAGGTAAAATGAACATCAACTTGATTTATCTTCAAACTGGTCTTTTCTGGTGTTAGAACAACAGGACAAACCAACCAACTGGCATAAAAACTGCACTGCATTGCCTTGAAATAATGAAATAAATGATTGAAAGATCCTGGCAGACCAGAAGACCTGGCTGAACTTGTAATTGTCACATTGTGCTTCCTCACTGGAAGTCTTAACCTAAAACTGTATAGCAGCTGTATTTATGCTTTTTTTCATAGCCTAATTGTTTATGATTCCTAATTAAGTTATTTTTTTAATTAATCAAGGTATTGTTTTATTCTATTGTTCTCCACTGAAAAGTTGAATGCAATTAGTTTAGCTATTATGCCAAAAAGGATAACACTATTAAACACGTTTTATTCGATACAGTTATCATACTGCACCCCCTGGTGTTTGAAAACTGTGTGCTGTGATTACAGCATTGTAATTAGTTGAGTAACTTACAAGATACATAATTAAGGCAGACTTTGAAACAGAATGTGTTATTTAAATAGTGATATATATTATTATCATGGTGAATGCTCTGCTTACATGTCTGCTTATCCATGACCACTTCACGTAGTACAATAGTAACGAGCCATATATTCTTTTACTCAAAAGCTTAGTGTCTACATCTACAAGACAATGACAACCTCAGAAAACATGCACACAAAAAAAATATTATTTTAAAAATTAATAGCTAGCCTATATAGTTCTATATCCTTAATTTGTCCATTTTTAAATTATCTATATTGAAAGATCTCGAATATTCTGAATCATTTAATTCAATGTAAGTACTTAAATATATTAATACATACTTAAAATAGCAATGTTTGGTTTGCATGAAGTTGTTAAGTGCTGCAACTGTTAGGCACCGCAGAAGCTTTCCTAACAGAAAATGACAAAACCAAACTTTTATTGTATTTTCAAACATAGTCTTGACATGTAAACTGCATTATTTCTAATTGAATACAGCTGGCAATTCTTATTCAAATTTGAAAATGTTTGTATCTATAAATAACTGTATGATATTGATTTGTGCTGTCATTTGCACTTCTGAACACTCACTTCACAAGTTGCAATGAACTTTAATCCTTGAATAAAAGCAAGATTAATAGTTGAATATTGACTGAATGGGACCTAACAAAAAAGCAATGTGAAAACTGAATTCTTCCAACAGTAAAGAAATAATTATTTTATAGTATTATAGAAAACTGTCTCCTTGATGGGAGATCAGTTTTCTCAAAAGCTCACTATAGATAAAATCATCGGTTCAAAATTAATGAATAATTGAATAATTAAGTAAGTAATTATGATCTTTAACCTTAAAACAATCAACTATGGTCTTGTGTACAAGCAATTTTTATCTACAGAAAATACCTAAAATTACTTGTGTGTCTCTCTTTGCCCCAATACACTACCAGTTTAATAATACTGTGTTAGTGTGAGTGCCACAGTCTTCTTCCTCTGCTGATAGTAACAGGAACCGGGGCTGTGGTATATTCGTGGCCACAGATCGCACACACTACGGAGCAGTTCTTTTCCTGCTGTTTTACAACAACTCAACAGATGTCATCATAAAAAAAAAAAAGTTTTACACATAATGAAATAAACAGCACTCCTGAATTATTATTTTTTTTAATTATGTACAGTCACAGGAGATGAAGACTGCAGTCATATTAGTAGTCTAATAAGTTTTTGTTTTGTTTTGTTTGCTTGGAGAAAGTTCAACCAAAAGCGAACATTCCGTCATCATGTACTCACCCTCCACTTGTTCCAAACCTTCTGTTGTTCTTTTTTTTGGTGTTGAACACTAAAGAAGATATTTTAAACAACTGTTGGTAACCAAACAGTTGATGGTGGCCATTGACTTACATAGTTTTTCATACTATGGACGTCAATGACTACCGTCAACTGTTTGGTTATCAACATTTTTCAAAACATGTTCTTTTGTATTCAACAGAAGAAAGAAACTCATACAGATTGGGAACAACTTGCGGGTAAATTAAAATTTTGGGGGGAACTAACCCTTTAACATGACATTTATTTAGGCATCTTTCACTTGTGAAATGAATGAAGAAGTGATTTTTTACAATGGCACCAATAACTGAAAACGTGGGTTTATATGCTTTTTGTGGGCGTGGTCAATAGAATGAATAATATTTACTTTTAAATTTCACATGCACTAAACACCAAATTTATGTAAAAACAAAAATAATAATAATAAAATAAAAGATGCCACACACACATATAGATATATACACACCCTGGCAGCCGAATTTCAACGTGCCACACATGCCTTTACATCTAGTAATCTAGCGTAAATCTCGCCCCGCCTTCCTCTTAGATAATGCACCGGCGGTTTTACCGTAATTAAACTAGAGGAGCGCACCCTAAACGTTTTGTTACAAGTGGCAGTCCTATGCAATAAAATCTAAATAATACGCTAGACAAAAGTAGTGCGTAACTGGATATAACTGGCAATAACTGAGTGGCTATTATCTACTTTAGAGTTTAAATGAATCGGCTCATTTATGCGCGCTACTCGCCTGCGACGTTGCATACAAAAACCGCAAACAGCTCGGTTAAATTACTTGTATTGAACGCCAAAGCCGCGTTTTGCTCTGACGTGTTTCCTACCGCTCATTTCTGGGTTATGTGCGCAATACGTTTTCATATTAAGGGCAAAATGGCGTAGTGGTCGGCTGAGGGAAGATCCTTAATGTGCTTGTGGACTACTTGGACTTCTCGATGCGTCTTGACGAAGTGGAGTACGGTATTGCATACTGAGGGGTGTATCCATCCACGATGCGTTTCGCGAGAAAGGGGTAACTGTTCGTTTCTAGGCAGTTGTTCTGGGGGACTTCTGTATATTTAACACTACTTTGGTAGGTGGGAAGAGGAAGAATGAAAGAGGTCTTCCAACGGAGCGGTCGTAAACATGAACGGTGCCCTTTACATTTCGTTTTTCCAAGGTCAGCTGGAGTCCGCGCTGGAGCAGGTAGTGCAGCTCGCCGTTCAGGAAATCACCAAGACTGTTGGGGCCACTTTGAATTCAATGCTATTGGAAACGGCCACCAAAGAGCAAGAAAATCAGCGTTTAAGGGCGACCCTTCAGTCTCGTGGAGGGAACGGGAATAGCAATGCGTCTAAGAGAAAAACAGACACGAACGATGAAACAAAGCAACACGCCCCCAGTCAAAGCCCTGAATGTGGCGTTCAATCTGAAACGCTCAGGCGTGAACAGAAAGCGCGAGCAGTTGGTAAGGCTATTTGAGTAAAAACCGCAAACAGCTCGGTTAAATTACTTGTATTGAACGCCAAAGCCGCGTTTTGCTCTGACGTGTTTCCTACCGCTCATTTCTGGGTTATGTGCGCAAGACGTTTTCATATTAAGGGCAAAATTGCGTAGTGGTCGGCCGAGGGAAGATCCTTAATGTGCTTGTGGACTACTTGGACTTCCCAATGCGTCTTGACGAAGTGGAGTACGGTATTGCATACTGAGGGGTGTATCCATCCACGATGCGTTTCGCGAGAAAGGGGTAACTGTTCGTTTCTAGGCAGTTGTTCTGGGGGACTTCTGTATATTTAACACTACTTTGGTAGGTGGGAAGAGGAAGAATGAAAGAGGTCTTCCAACGGAGCGGTCGTAAACATGAACGGTGCCCTTTACATTTCGTTTTTCCAAGGTCAGCTGGAGTCCGCGCTGGAGCAGGTAGTGCAGCTCGCCGTTCAGGAAATCACCAAGACTGTTGGGGCCACTTTGAATTCAATGCTATTGGAAACGGCCACCAAAGAGCAAGAAAATCAGCGTTTAAGGGCGACCCTTCAGTCTCGTGGAGGGAACGGGAATAGCAATGCGTCTAAGAGAAAAACAGACACGAACGATGAAACAAAGCAACACGCCCCCAGTCAAAGCCCTGAATGTGGCGTTCAATCTGAAACGCTCAGGCGTGAACAGAAAGCGCGAGCAGTTGGTAAGGCTATTTGAGTGCAAACCATGTTTTTATTGAATGGAAATGAAGAAAACGTGTTGGGTATCTTGTTCAATAATCCGTGTTATTGAAACGCTCGTGTTTACAATGCAAATGTGACTCGATGGCTTGGTGCGCAGTGGCGAGGTTTATGAAAACAAGGGTATGCACCATTTTGAACGGAAGGAGGAAGTCGTAATAAACTTGGTCTGCTTTTGCACCCATGGATTTCAATTCCCTTATTTTGGTTAAACGCCCTTGTATTTTAGAAACGTGGCAGGAATGACCCTGTAGTTAAACCCAAACCAAGCCCTGATGGAAAATCCAGCTTTAGATGGTAACTCTGTTACCATTGAACATGGTAGATGGTTTCTAGGTGGTCTAAGTTGGTCATTAGCTGGTTGACTAGTTCCTAAAACAGTCTTGACCAACTGTTTTCTTGCTGGTCCAAGATGGTCAGTTAGCACCAAGTAATGAGCATCTTAAACCAACTACAAACCATCTACCATGCAAAACACACTAGAATACCTGTTTGATTTATAAGTCTAACTTATTTATTTTCTTCAGTTCAGATAGTAATTAAGATAAACTGGTCCACAGATCTCACTTTTTTTAAAACCAATAATTTACGCAGTTGGAGGAAGTGTGTAAGTCTACATAATTGTGCATGGGAGACTGTAGAGAAACAACGCATTGTTTTAGTCTGAATGTTTTGTCTTTGTTGAGTGGAATTGTATGATTGAAGGAAGTTTTTGTCTGGTCTTTGAAATGAATCTTAGTCAGCAGTCTTCAGGCCTGTGTGGGCATGTATGCATAGACCTTTTAATGTTTGGAGTATGGCTGACTTGTTGTGACTGCTGCCAATGGCTGGTTTGGGTGATGACGCTTCTGTCGTTGAGCTGCTCCTTAGCGCTGCTTTTCATACTGCGGTGACGGTAGCCATGGGGAGTGTGCCTTTGCCTTGCATTTTGGCCAATGGAGGTGGTTAGAAGAAGCCACACCTACCAGACCCTGCGGAGGGTATCCATGGTTGGGGTTTCAGGGGGGAGTATCATGAGAGTCTTCATCCTAAGCAGAGACTGCAGCCAAATCACAAAGGAGCCCAATGATCCGCTTTGATGTCATAGCTTGGCGTGTCAACATGCACACAAAGAGTTTTTTTCACAAATGCACCATTTAATTCGTTTGCAATAGATGCACCACTAAAATTGAATGGGAATATCTGATCTTGATTCATTTAAGTCATCATGGCAGTTACATATGCTTCAAAAATTGTATTTGAATAGGTAAATCGATATTATTTTCAATTGCAGCTTTCTTAAAGTCAGCACTAAGGCTCAACAGTAAGGATGGCCCATTGGGGCCATTGTGAGAGGCTTTCAGCAGACAATGCACACCTTTGTGATATTATCTGTAAAAAAAAATTGTTAAAAAATCTTCTGCTATGCTATCATTTTCTCTCAAAATAATTAATGGAGTGAAATTATAGCTATATATACATATGTAGCAATAAAATATTTATGAAAAGCAAAAACTGTAAAGAAAGCCCTATATTTCTTTAAAAAAATTTTTTTTTTTTTTACATTTTATTTGCTTTAAATATCAAATCAATTGGGATTGGATAAAGTCATCATCATGCCCTAAATTTATTTTTCTTGAATATTCTGTTTCATACTGCAATTCATCATATTACAGAAGTAAAATGGGTAGTGAATGGCATTTCATATTGCCTAGCAAGTGTTGCACATTTTCATCATTAGTAGGGATGTAACGATTCACTCAACTCACGATTCGATTCACGATTTTGATTTCACGATTCGATTCACAATTATTATTATTATTATTTTTTTACAAAATTAGATTTAAGACAAATTATAAATTAAATGTGTCCTTTTATTATTGCTTGGACAAAATGCTGCACATTTCTTTGTGAAATTGAAATATAACACTATAATAATATACTAATAATCTGGCATAATTGTAAAAATTAATATGTCTGTATGAACAATATGGTAAGCTATTAGTAAATGTGATTTTAAATGTTTTAACAGTGATTTTATAATATCTAAGCATGAATCCATGAAACCTTATTATTGACCTAGAGAGTCTAGAGAATAGTACTGCACTGATTTGATTGATTTTGAGTTAAAAACCGAGGACCAGTTCACAAAAGTAGGTTTTTAAAATAATCTCAAATATTTAATGAACAGTTTGATTGACAGCATTGGTCCCAGAGGTAAAGTTGTTCAGAATGAGGAGATCTATCATATGATAGGAAGATCTTGTGTTTTTGTGAATATATGTACATGTTCTACAATTTGAGGTCATTTACTACAGAAATACGTTGTTTTTGAGAACGTTTTAACTGTTATAGCGGCACCTATGGTCCAATATCTATTAAACGTTGCATGCTTGTTAAGTGTCTTCTGTCACATGTTGTCACCATGTTTCGTAAAGTTTTGAGTTTTCGTTTAGGTTTTATAGGCTTTGGGGTATATTTGACCACGCCCCTTTTAAAATGACCAAATTAAACATTTTTTTGATAATTATTGATCTAGAGAGTCCAGAAAATATTACTGCAGTGGTTAGATCGAGATTGAGCAAAAAACCTAGGACTAGTTCGCAAAAATAGGTTTTTAACATAATTGATAATATTTAATGAACGATTTGATTGACAGCATTAGTCACAGAGGCAAAGTTGTTTAGAATGAGGAGATCTATCATATGATATGAAGATCTTTTATTTTTGTGAATATATGTACATGTTCTACAATTTGAGGTCATTTTCTATACAAATATTGTATTTTTGAGGTCTTTTCAACTGTTATAGCGCCACCTACAGTCCGATCTCCATGAAACTTTGCATGCTTGCTAAGAGTCATCTGACACATATTTTCACCAAGTTTCGTAAAGTTCAGAGTTTTTGTTTAGGTTTTATAGGCTTTTGGGTATATTTGGCCAAGCCCCTTTTAAAATGACCCCATTATAGCTAACCAAAGGACAAAATTCAAATTTTTATTGATAATTATTGATCTAGAGAGTCCAGAGAATATTACTGCAGTGGTTTGATCGAAATTGAGTGAAAAACCTAGGACTAGTTCGCAAAAGTAGGTTTTTAACATATTTGAGAATATTTAATGAACGATTTGATTGACAGCAATGGTTCTAGAGGCAAAGTTGCTCGTTATGAGGAGATCTATCAAATGATATGCATATTATGTTGATGGGTGAAAAATCGTGCAATATACAATCGTTTACGCACTGAAAAAACGCAATTTCGCCCCCCAGTGGCCGATTTCTTTCAAAATTCTTACAGACCTTTAGGGCCATAAGAAGATCTTGTATTTTTGTGAATATATGTACGTTCTACAATTTGAGGTCATTTTCTGTACAAATATTGTATTTTAGCGCCACCAAGTGGCAGAGCTGCGAGTTTTTTTGTTTTTTTTTTGTTCAAAGATTGAGCTTGTACACATGTGTACCGAGTTTGGTGAAGATATCTCATTCCGTTCTAGAGTTATAGCTAAAATAACATTTGACTAACGTTAGCATAGACGTTTCTTTGCATGCTGTTGCAAACGAAAATCTAAATTTCAACTTTTTTTTGATAATTATTGATATTCAGTGTCTAGAGAATATTTCTGCAGTGGTTTGGTTCCGATCGGGCGAAAAACCTAGGACTAGTTCGCAAAAGTAGGTTTTGGACATAACTCAATTTTGCGGAAAAACCGTGCGTCGTAGAGTAAAATTTGCTGTAAGTATAAACTTTTGTTCTGAATGACCCAAGGATCGCAACGATGTAACATTTTTGAGTCTACGACAAATGGTGTACGAGCTACGGGCAAAAATGTCTGAAAATTTAGTTTTTTGCGCTGTAGTGCCCCCCTTTGACCGATTGTGCCGGCTCTTTGCGCCTCTTTACTTCGCATGCTTGCTAAGAGTCATCTGACACATGTTTTCCAAGTGGCAGCGCTGCACAATTTTTTTTTTATTTGACCAAAGCTTGAGCTCTTACACATGTGTCCCGAGTTTGGTGAAGATATCTCATTCCGTTCAAGAGTTATAGCCATTTTAGTAAAATTGGCCCCACCCCTTACGAACGTTTTGGGGTCCCTATGCGACAGTGAGGTGAAATTATTGATATTCACTGTCCAGAGAATTTTTCTGCAGTGGTTTGGTTCAGATCGGGCAAAAAACCTAGGACTAGTTCGCAAAAGTAGGTTTTTAACGTAATTGAGAATATTTAATGAACGTTTTGATTGACAGCAATGGTTCTAGAGGCAAAGTTGCTCGTTATGAGGAGATCTATCAAATGATATGCATATTATGTTGATGTGTGAAAAATCGTGCAATATACAATCGTTTACGCACTTGAAAAAACGCAATTTCGCCCCCCAGTGGCCGATTTCTTTCAAAATTCTTACAGACCTTTAGGGCCATAAGTCGAACATGCCCACTGAGTTTCGTCCCGATCAACCTCCGTTAACCTTGTCTTATAGGTGCTTTGAATTTACTTCAAAATGGCGGGAAAACCGGACCTCGTAGAGCAAATCTAAACTTCTAAGGCTTTTGTCCGTCCTGACCCAAGGATTCCAAAAGTGTAAAAGTTTTGAGTCTACAACAAACGGTCTAGGAGCTATAAGCAGTTTAGTGTTTTTGATCGCTGTAGCGCCCCCCATAGGCCGATTGGGGTGAGTCTTTGCACCTGAGTAGCGAGCCAGACTACTACCTTTTCACAAAGTTTCAGCTCTCTAGGCCTTACAGGTTATTCTGCACAATCAGTTTTAGGGAAGAATAATAATAATAAAAATCCTTACAATTACAATAGGGTTTCAGCACTGCGTGCTTGAACCCCTAAATATCTGCATGTAACAGAAACAGAAGACGAGCTGAATGAGACGCAGATTCACTCTCTGCCAGCAGGTGGCGCTTAAAGCGTTTCCTGGTTTCCGCTGTAAACAAAGCAGCGCTGAACTTATGAACTTTAATATGCATTATACAGAGGCAAGATGAAAAGAAAAAATACCATCTAAACTTTTCTAAAGACAGTAAGTTCCCCTCAGACATGCATTCATATAAACTCCTACACCTAAATGAATCGCGATTTGTTTAGCATCTCAACCGATTTGAATCGTCACATATTTGAATCGATTTTCAACCGGCTCGCAGTTAATCGTTACATCCCTAATCATTAGTGAGCCAGGTTGTAAATTACATAGTTTAAGATTGAAGAACGAATATTTACAATATCAGACATTTTCCAACATCACTAGTTTTTTTTTATTAATTATTGTTACTTTCTATGGTGCATCTGCTCCAGTAAAAGATTTTACACCATTTTTAGGAACTCAAAATTTGCCTCTAAAATCTATATATTTGTGTACATATGTATATTTGCTAGATATTTATTTTATAACTTTAGTAGGAAAACTTGACCACTTTTTACTTCTGTTAGTATATAATATCTTTGACAATTAGATGTTAATATTGTTCATATTTTATGCTTCGACAGTAAGGCATTTAGGCACTTCTAGATGTGGTCTTTCAGTTGTCTGATCAAAATGGGCTGTGTACAGTCAGGGAGGAATGCAGAGGACTACATGCGGTTCATTTTAAAGGCTGTGTTTCTGCAGGGAGGTGCATTTCATACAAGTTCCAAGATAAGCGTCCAAATCAAAATTCAGACCTGCAGCACTTCTGATTTGAATACAAGCCACGTATACCCTGTCACTATAAGAAGTGCTTAGGTAATTATGTTGAGATTACTAACGGTTCCTCTTCTGTCCTAAAATACAGATTTTTGGAGATGCCTAAACCTTTTAAAACCTCAAACTGAAATGCTTTGACAGTCTGTTGATGATTTGACTGTTTCGTGTTACGTTGGGTTTAAATTTAAAAAAGGATAAATTTGCTCAGTTTGTGAACATGCTAAAAAGCATTATTATATCTGTACATTAATTTTTGTTCTTAATAAATGCATCAGTTTTGCAGGGTTTTTAGTAAAAATCAGTGTACTTGGTTTTGCAGTGTAAGCTTCCTAATGTGACCATCATAAGTTTGTACATACAATATGGTAGTATGCAAAAGTTATTATAGGTCAGGCTTAAAATACACCATTCAATTTTATACAGTCCATCAGTTCCATTTCTGCATCAACAGATACGCATTCGTAGTGGCATTTTTCTTAGATTGCATTCAGATCTTGACATAGCATAATTGAGACTTTAAATCTGAACATTTCTTGCAGAAAGTAGGGAGCGAAGCAAATTGGTGTGATTCTCATAAATGTCAGCCAGCGGCTTTATTTTCTGCCTTTCTCTGCAGTCTGTGGATGGTGCAGAGAGTGATTAGAGAACCTACAGGCTATAACTACCTGTTTGTGTCACAAGAACTTTACAGATGGATTTTTCTGAGTAAATATATCATAATGTCTCCATTTTCAGGTCAGTTAAAATCTGTTATGGAACATGTGCTGGAATTCGCCGTTTGTGAGCTGAGTAAAATCGCGGAAGACAGCTTTGACGACCTGCTCTCGGAGTTCACCAAGAAGGAGCGGGAAAACCAGATATTAAAAGAGCAGTTACAGGACAAGAACATAGTGGAGGACAGTGATGTGCTTGCTGTGGAAACGGAGGACCGCGAAAACGACTCTGCCTCTCCTAGCAGTTCCAAAGCGGAAAAGCAAGAGTCGAAAGGCCTGCAGGACCAATCGCACAAAAAAGAGTGGGAAAAAACTGAAACCACAAATGGTACAAACTGTTTTATTGTCTAGTAGTTGATAATTAGAATGCATGTACACTACTGTTCAAAGGTTTGGGGTCTGTAAGATGCTTTTGAAGAATGCTCACCCAGGCTACATTTATTTGATCAAAAATACAGTAGCCTATAAACGGTAATATTACAAAATATTATTAAATGTAAACAATTACGATTTTTTTGTTTTGTTTGTTTGTTTTAAGATATATTTTTGGCATTTATTGCCTTTTATTAGGACAGGACAGTAACTTGTAATTTATTCCTGTGATGCAAAGCTGAATTTTCAGCATTATTACTCCAGTCTTCAGTGTTTATTATTTTACATATAAATATTATTATCAATGCTGAAAACAGTTGTGCTGCTTAATTTTTTGTGAAAACCTTTACATTTTCTTTATTTGAAGTAGATTTTTTTGTAACATTATAAAATCTTTAGTCACCCTTAATCAGTTGAATGCATCCCACCTGAATAAAAGTATTAATTTCTTAAATTAAAAAAACAACTAAATAAAACCTACTGACCCTGGTAGTGTAAAGTTGGATATAATCACTTCTTTTTGTGGAAAGAATTTACTCCCAATGAATTGTGCCCACTGATAACATTGTTTATTTGCATATTACTGTCCGTGTTGCTTTAGGGATCGGTTCACTAAACGAATTATGAAAATCAGGTAACTGTAATCCTATCTAATCCTATTTGTTTGATGCAGTTCCCTAACTTTCAGGCTGATTCTGAGCACTAAGTTGTGGAGGGTTCAGACTATCGTGATATGGCTTACTTAACTGTAACTACATCATTCCTCTACCTGGAACCTGAAACGTCTCTGAATGAAGTTCTCAATGTTCCTGTATTTGTCGTTGGGTATCAGGCTGGAAATGCAACTGTTGTCCATCGTTTGATTGGCTCCTACGATCAATAAAAATGTACACAAACATTACTTTTAAATAAAATTCTGTTTAGTGCCCACTTTCCATGGGCAGAAATCAATTGCACCTGGCTTTTGAGAATAAGATTCAATCAGATTTTTCATAGAAGGCATGTCTGTGCTAAAAAATTACTCTGAGTTCATTTAAATATGGCTGGTGTGGAGCTAATGTTAAAAAGCTGATGTAAAATGCTGAGTATTCAATATAATATACCCAATGTTCAAAGGTAATATTATACCAAAATTTAATTTCCCCTTTTATTAATGCATTATATTGGCACGCCTCAGTTTATTGTTCAGTGGCGGACAGAGCAGAAACAAAAGTACTTTATTGTTTTTCCATCTGTTCTTTGGGTTTCATTCAGACTTCTATTTTTAAACTGTTATGTAAAAAAAAAGCAGACCAGGCCAACGATTCGGCTCTCAATAAATGTCTTGTTTTCAGACTGATAGCGCCTGCATTGCAGGTAATTATTGAATAAGACCCAGGTGTTTGTACTGAAATATGGTCATGGTTTTCAGTTATTATTAATTTCATTCTAACTAGTTATTGCTTTCAAATGCAAAAATCACCTTTAAAAGCGAATTTTATGTTGTGTACAAGTGAATTGCAACAAAACATCTCTGGATATTTGAATGCGAAATCAGCAGATAAAGGTCATTTGGTTTCCAATTTCCTTAAGTGTGTAACCCTACTTATTTAAATGAATGGAGATAATTAACCCTGAAAAATAAGTCATTATTTTTCATTTCCATCTCTATAAGGTTTTTTTTTTTGTTTTTTTTTCAACAGAACCAGACAAGCAGACTGTCATTGCAGTGGCTCAGGACTGGGTGCCCATCCTGGACAAAGTCTTCGGGCAGAAGTGGTGCAGTGACCTCTGGCAGTTCAAAGAGGTCACCACCAGTAAAGAGGAGCGCACTGGGCTGAGCTCGGGCTCGGTGACCGACATGGACAGCTTAATTCGGGAGACGCTCATGCCGTCTTGCCTGGCCACTCAGAGGAAGTTATACAAGCTGTACACTCACTACTTTACATTGTAGCAAAGTGTCATTTCTTCAGTGTTGTCACATGAAAAGATATAATAAAATATTTACAAAAATGTGAGGGGTGTACTCACTTCTGTGAGATACTGTATATACATATTTAAACAAATTAGATTTAAAAAAGTAACCTAAAAAGTAGTCAGAATACATTATCTAAAATGAGTAACCTAGATTGTGTCACTAACAACAGTTTTCATTATGTAATTAACAAAGTACAGTTTCTACCCAGCACTGAGTAGGGTTGTAATTTGAAATCATACCAACTTTTCAAGTCGTTGTCTTTGTATATACAGGTGACGAATCTCAAATCAGATCCCCGTCAATGTTGCAAAGACTCCTGACGCTTCCTTCCCAGCTTCTTGAGGATGACGATGAGTCCATGGATGCCGTTCCCAGTATGGAAGTGTCCACAGATCCGGCTGATTTGCAAGTCGGTAAGGGCTCAATGAGTGACCAGATGAATAAGAAAAAGGAAGAGGAGGATAATGACGAAGAGGACAACGAAGATGGCGACGAGACGACGGACAGGACTGAGTCCTTGAAACACAAAGGTAGGAGAAAATCCCATGCTTGCAAAGAGTGCGGCAGGAAGTTCAGCCGAGCGCATCTTCTCAGAGCCCATCGACAAACGCACGAGGAGACGCCCAACCGATGCCCACAATGTGGAAAGAGTTTCTCCCAGTCTTCAAGGCTCCAGGCTCACTTACGGACGCACACGGACAAAACGATATGAGAGAGTGTAGATGAAAGAAATTTAGGAGAATAGGTGGGGAGGTTTTCCAGTGATTTGTTGCTTCTCGAAGTGAGTCAGACTTTCAAATTCATTTCAAGTACTGATAATGGAAATGCAAGAAACGTGTAGCCTTTTTTGCTAGTTTGAAGGTACACTGAGGTAATTAGACATCCGACACAATTTAAGATGTTTTTACCTCCATTTCGTTTCCCTAATTTTAGGGATTATTGGAAGAAGCAAATACTAGTAACAACAAGCTGTGTACACAGTGTAAATATCAAAGTAGGGCTGCATAGACCATCACAATAAGGATCGAAGAATCTTTTTCCATTGGGTGTTTTTTCATAATTCAAGTTTTAAAAGATCCTAAAACTTTGTAAATATTTTAAACATGTTACATGAAGATGTCGTGGAAAAGGAATTCGCTAGTTAATAGGCCCACGCAGCATGCTGGTCTTGTTTCTTTTTACAACATTTGGAATGTGATCAAACGAACCAGAGATAGCGTAACGCGTTTCCTGCGATCGAATCAACCAGTTTTTCATATGTCCTTACCGACTTAGTACTCAACATGAAATACCTCTTGTGTTCAGATGTCATACTGGATTTTTATATAATTAAAGTCTCGACTTACATGTCAGATTCTAGATGTTTTCTTTAACCTTTCGCCATGGGTCGAGGATGGCTTACAGTTTTTGACTTGAACTTGCACAATTGTCATCGATTGCATGACGTGCACAACCAAGGATATCTTCAAGAGGCAAGGAGTCTGAGGACGAGATGACAAGAAAATTGCATTGAAATGGTTATTGGAAAGAAACTTGAAGCTCCTAACTCTTCATATTCTCATTTCATTGACTTTAAAAGAGAATCTGACTTTCCTAGTATCCTCAACTAGAGTAGCGTCTTCCTGTTTGCGTGAAGTGTTCGCATGGCTCAACATCTTGAACTTGGAGAAATGCTCAGTTGCCGGTTGTGAGATTTGGTTTTCCCAGCATCGGTGGCATGTATCTGAATACGTAGTCTTCCTTAGGGAAGCCGTTATCTACCATTTCCAGAGAGGCAGACGGATCCTGCACTTACAATTTATGCCCTGTATCGAAGGAATATAGGTCCCACCTGTTACGCACATTCCCACTCTCGACCCTGACTTTTTACAATATCTCTGTCAGTAATAAGCATGATGGGGGGGAAAAAGTACAAGGTGTTACTGTTACTTCTCGGATCAATACCTCATCGATGGGACCATATCTTTCGGGACTTCTGCAATATCAGGAGTTAAAGGGATAGTTCACCCAAAAATGAAAATTTGATGTTTATCTGCTTACCCCCGGTCCTGCTCAAAAAAAAAAAAAAAAAAAGTTTACAAATGGAACGGGACCGGCCAGTTGGCCTGCTTATTTGATTGTGCATTTAAAAATGTGGCTTATTTTATTTTACGCTACTTAATATGTCCCTGTAGGAAGGTACCAAGAACTTGCGACCCAAAGATTACAACGAAGGGAAAACTTTTTCGACCATACATACTCTTATAGGATTGTATTGCTTTTTTTTAACAATATGGGCCATTACATTTTACATTATGATCCCTAAGCTTCTTTCAGATGTATTGAGTATTGTAACTTCATTAGTAGACTATAATGAAGTACTTTATCTGTTTAGTGCCTAGATTTAACCGTTCAATAAGCTGATCTTATAGGTGTTGGTGATGATTGAGAGGTTGATTAATTGTTTAGCACCCTGCCTTTGTTAAAAAAAAATGACCAGAACTCTTTTCTTTCTTGTGCTTAGTTCTTTCACCTGAACAGTCAGCTCTAGATATTGTACCAGTTCTCTTTAATTATGTTACTGCTAGTCAAATCTGACTTCAATGTTAAAATAATTCAGTATGTTTCATCAATTCAGACTGCTGGGAGGGATACCAGGAAGAGTTAGTTCACCCAAAAATGAAAACCCTGAGACATTTCTCAAATTATCTTACAGGTTTGGTCATGCAGGTTTGAAGGTGAGTAAATGAAGAGAGCTTTCATTTTTGACTGCACAATCCCTTTAAAGGAATAGTTCATCCAAAAATAAAATTGTCATCATTTGCTTTGATCTTTTGATAAATGTTGGTTGCTGGTAGTTATTGACCTCCATAGTTTGGAGAGAATAATAGATATCGGCAGTTAACAACATTGTTCAAAATATGACCTTTTGTGCTTAACAGAAGAAAAAATTCATACAGGTTTGGAACAACATGAGGGTGAATCAATAATGACAGAATATTTATTTTTGGGTGAACTGTCTCTTTAGGCTAATTACAGCTCATGGATCCAAAAGACTATTGTATAAAGACTATGATATTAGTAAGAGTGACAATATTATGGTATATTTGCATTTGTTCTGGGTTACAATAAGCAATTTAAATGAATATTGAAGGACTTGAATTTTGCATTTGACTTAATGCCATGAAACGGCCCCATGTACGCCCATCTATTTATGACCATGAATTAAAGAATCTTGGCATGTAAAATCGCTCTGGTCCACAGATATTTATTCAGTTAGTACTGGCGAATGTGTGATGCAGTCTCTTGTAAAAAAAAATGACATTGCAACTTTGTGGGGTGTGTTTGTTTGCGTGTGTGCGTCTGCAGTCACTGACTTTCCTTGAAGTGCATCATAACTCAATTGACCGGCATTAATACCCTACACCTGTTATTTTATTTATTTTTACTTTTTTGTAACCTTTTTTATGAAGCAAAATAAACAGCATCTTTCTGCCAAACAGTCTGAAACATGAGCTTTGTGATGCAGTCCAACATTCGCCCAGAGAACTGCATTGTTCTAATGAACTACTTAAGCATTTTAGTGTTTTGTTTATGTTATGCATGATGACTCCATTTAGTGGTTTGTTACTTTTTAAGAATCTGTATTGTCATGTATTGAAAAGAACACTTGTTGTAACAGACCAATTGGATCAACTGTTTACCATGGATCATGGTTAGTAGTTTTCTGTTTTGTTATGTTATGGTATAGTAGCTCTAAATGGATTATAGAGTTCAGCATTTGACCAATAAATGCCAAGTATTACTTTTGTACCATTTTCTTTTCTTCCTTTTTTCTTCTGTTTTCCTGTTACTCCATACATCCACACCTCAGTTTTGTTGGTAGTCTGAAAGCATTGCTCAGTTCATTACCTCAGGACTCATTCACATTGTTTTAGCATATTTATGGTGAAAGTAGACAAATGTTAAATTTGGGTTTACATTCAGTAATATTTTTTGTTGAAATCTCTAAATTGGGAGAAAAAAAAAAAAGTGATAAGGGTGATTAATGAAAACTTTCTATTTAATCAATATTGTTATTTTACAGTAAAAGCACATTATGATCCAGGTAATTATGAACCACATATACAGAACATCAATACTAAATCTTTTCCTTTCGAGAGTTGACCAAATTTTGTGCAACATCGAAAGTCATTATTATTGGGAAGTTGTTTGTTTGTATTTTTTCCATCTTTTAGGAATGCCTGTTGTTGTAACCAGCGTTTAATTTCTACTTCTTTTCCAAAAAAAAAAAAAAGATTTTACCTATCACTGAAATGTCTTTTAATGTGACTGGAAGTAGTTGTACATTTGAATTATGGCAATACATTAAAAAGGTGGAATATTGCATCAATTACATGCTTTGTCATTTTTCATTCTAAGTCTTGAATTGTATCATCCATAAAACCTGCTTCCTTCATTTCTACCTGTGCAACAGTAGAGCGGGGTGTTTATCTCTCAGCTGAGTTTCTGAACTCTATGTAGCTGGGATCTCTAGAAATGAATGTTTTTCCTAAACATTGATGCACAGATGTGCAAAAGGCAACCAATCAAATGGCCCTAGGTTTTTTTGTTTTTGGCTTTCTAATAAATTCTACAGTAAAGTCCTCCAGCTAGATGCAACTTGAAAAAGCCTTCCTGTTTGCTGCTATTGTGATGTTCTAAGCAGTAACAGCTGTGTGACACTTGCCGTTTGATTTGTATCAGTTGTGGAAATTGCTGCATACTGCAGTCTGTGAGATGCACCTTCACAGCAAATGAAATAACTTACAGGATGAATATACAGTTTATGTCTGCCTATTTTGTTTTTAAAGAAGTAGCTAACCCAAAAATTAAAATTCTCAACCTCAGGCCATCCAAGATGAAGATGAGTTTCTTCATCAGAACAGATTTGGAAAAAGTAAGCATACATCACTTGTTCACCAGTGTATCCTCTGGAGTGAATGGGTGCCGTCAGAATGAGAGTCCAAACAGCTGATAAAAGTATCACAATAATCCACAAGTAATCCACGCCACTCCAGTCCATCAATTAACATCTTGTGAAACAAAAAGTTCCTTGTAACAAATCCATGATTAAGTCATTTTTTAAGGGTTCCTCCACCCCAAAATGAACATTTTGTCATTAATCACTTACCCCCACGTCGTTCCAAACCCGTAAAAGCTTCGTTCGTCTTCGGAACACAATTTAAGATATTTTGGATGAAAACCGGGAGGCTTGTGACTGTCCCATTGACTGCCAAGTAAATGACACTGTCAAGGCCCAGAAAAGTATGAAAGACGTCGTCAGAATAGTCCATCTGCCATCAGTGGTTCAATCTGAATTTTATGAAGCGAGAATACTTTTTGTACGAAGAAAGCAAAAATAGCGACTTTATTCAACAATTTGTCTCCTCCGCGTCACCGTAGCACCATTTTTGGAGAGTATCCACTGAACTGCGTATACTGTTCTACTTGTCTGTGTCTGTGTGATTTGAACGAAAACAGCGTATCCGTGTGGTGCGGCTGACACAGAACAGCATACGCAGTTTGCGTTCAGTGGATACTCTCCTAAATGGCGCTACGGTGATGCGGAGGAGACAAATTGTTGAATAAAGTCGTTATTTTTGTTTTCTTCGCGTACAAAAAGTATTCTCGCTTCATAAAATTCAGATTGAACCACTGATGGCAGATGGACTATTTTGACGATGTCTTTCATACTTTTCTGGGTCTTGACAGTATTATTTACTTGGCAGTCAATGGGACAGTCACAAGCCTCCCGGTTTTCATCCAAAATATCTTAAATTGTGTTCTGAAGACGAACGAAGCTTTTACGGGTTTGGAACGACATGGGGGGAAGTGATTAATGACAACATTTTCATTCTGGGGTGGAGGAACCCTTTAACTTTAAACCTTTGCTTTTGGCCAGAATACAAGTCCATAATCCATAATAACACTATGTCCAGTAAAAAAGTCCATCCCCTGTTGTCCTCTCACATTTTAGCAAAGTGAAGTTAAAAATGTCTTGATGGATTTGTTTCTTACAAACACGCAGCTTTTTGCTTCAAAATATGTTAATTGATGGACAGGACCAAACGACCAAACGGTGAAAATTTTATGGGCACTGTAAAATAAGCTTCTGAAATCTCTTCCCATTTAATGGTGATTGATTATATCTCTCATGTTATGTCGTACTGCCTCTTAAACTTTTCAATTGGTTTCCTTGTGGCCCTGTTGGCACATTACCCACAGTTGTGTCATCTGTAAGATGTGTCTAAAAGCGTAATGGAGACAAATACATCATTGGAAGGAAGATTAACCATTTCTAACTACATTTCATATATCTGCATCTAAACAGAGGATCAATTTTACCATCTCGTCCTCTGGGGTTTGATTATGGAGCAAAACACTATCATATATTTTTAATATATAATGCAATACAATTATATGAATTATTCACAATTATTCAATTATAAACATGAATAATTCATTTTATAATTCATATTTCATTCACTATATATAATGAATGTCTTGTGTGCAAGTGCACCTGGGCCAAAAAGAGGAGTGCATTTGCTTTCTTTTATGTATTACACATTTTTAAATGAGAAAGACATTGGTTATTGTGTAGAAATCATTCTGTGGAATGAGTGATTCTGATTCTCATTATACACTACTATATCCAGACAGTGTAACCCAGACTGCCTGTTATTCATGTTGAGAGCAGTAGGAACTTGTTTGACAATGCAAGATTTTTTTTGTCATTGAAAAAAATGCACAGAACAACGAATATCAACGCCTCTTATATGTTTTTTTATTTGATTCAATTTCACTGCTTGCTCTTAATAATGGCAATATTTTGTGCAGCAAATTATTTTGCATTATTTCTATTTTCTGCATAGGATTCATATTAAAGGAATTTTATGCATAAAGGTAATGTAGCATTTACATTTGCAGAATTAAATAATATTTTCCATTTATTATTATCTTTAAACTTCATAACTCCATTCTAGAACTCCACTTTTGAAAACAATCACATCTGGTTCCAATGGGCTAAACGAATAACAATTCATATAAAAATACAATAAAGTGAAATAAATAATAATTTAGTTTGTGTAGATTATTTTTATTTGAAATTCATTACATTATGCATTTTTTCATATATCAGTAGTCCTTATTAAGCATTTTTATTTAAATCCGTTTCACATTTTTCTCTTATCAATGGTTATATTTCACATATGTACTATTATGCATAATAGGAACTGACACTCATTTGATTTTTTACAACCCCTTTGTCCTGTGCAATAGAATGCAGGTCTCATCATTTACATATCATTGATTAATGACAATCATGCACTATCCATCCACTCCATAACAACTGTGGAGTGCCAGAGCATGTGATTCTCCTCTCTAGTCCTGAGCTTTTGTTATGAGTAACTGCTGATGTATCTTTTCCTTCAGATGATGTATGATGATGATAGCATTAAATTAGCCAGAGAAGGAACGAGACATCTGGTTGCACAAAACACATTTTCTAAACCTGTGCAGATGTTTATTGTATTCATCGCGGCCTCGTCTTCGAATAACACGCACGAAAACGAGCATTTGTAGGAAGTAAACAAAGTATCAGCTAAGTGAACTGTACCGCTGCGCGCGCATTTACATTTTTACGACGGAAGTGAAACGGCTCAAACCCGGAGGAAAGCGACAACGGGAGTGAAAACGAAGCGGAATTAGTCAATGAGAGGGAGGAGAGAGCGAAAGAGAAGGAGTGTGTGCGACAGCCGACAAGGAGGCTGCAGGACGCTGGGGCCGAGGTGGACGTGGCGGGTCCGGCAGGGGTTTGATGTGGGTTCCGCTTACGGCGCGTTGACGGCCGCAAAAAAAAATAAAAAATGAACAGGTAAAAAAAATCGCCGAGGCGTTCTCCCGATCGGTTTTATTCGCGTTCTGCTATTTTCATCTTTTTTTCCTCCTGTCTCTCCTGATAGGTGGTGATGAGAGCGTGCATGAACCGCGCAAGTCATGCAACTCACCACGTACGCTCTTCTATCTCAGCGAGCGTTTTGCATTGTTATGCAAAGGTGAACGAGTCGATGTTTGCGTTCAGAAGTTGAAGCTGGCTCAACTTTCCCTCAGCGGATCGTTCAGCTGGCTGATGCAGCGACGTTCTGCTACAAACAAGATGGCCACTGGCTCGCGCACGCTGAAACTGTGGCATTTTTACCCTCCTGCCTTTGTATGTTCTTCATCACCACCGCTGGAAACACCGAAACGCGCCCTTGCATGCCGATATACCCGCTATTGGCACCCCGTTCTGTGTTTGTATCGCACGCTCTCCGTTCCAGGGCGTCATGGATTAAAACGTTCTCTCGTAAGAAAAAAAAAAAAGCAAAAGATTTATTGTGTGCAAAAACGCCGCCAGATTCAAGAAAGGCAGCAGAAAAGTGCATGATGCGTGGCGAACTAGCGAAGCTACCTTGACTAGTTGCTTTAGTGATTTCCAGTAAAATCGACGAGCTTTTGCGCGTTTTTACAACGCACTTTTACGTCAAGTTTCTTTATCTTTTTATTTTTGTTATCTTTGTTTTTCGCCGGCCTAAAATGTGTACTTTCAATCAGTCGGCACAGACAATTACACAAATGCCACGACATTGTAATTATACATTTATAAGCTTGAATCCCGCGCCTTTGTCTTATTCCCTCACAAATTTGCATGGTATTTTTATTTTGTGCGACTCTTTAATAATAAATTATGATGGGAACATCTGGTTGTAATGCCCCTGCAATGTGTCAGATTGACTTTGACATCTTAATGGGTGGATGCTTATGTCAGGTTATTGTTCTCGTTCATGATACATGCTGTAAGCATGTATTAGTGTTCTGCAGAGCAAAAATATACCAAGGGTTTGTGTAATTTTGTGTTTTGCGTAAACATGTTTGTCACATGCATTCAAGCCATGCAAACAACAGCCATTTTGAAATTACTTTTGAAGTACATGCAAAATAACAAATGTGAATCAGTGTTTAATTGAGCATTACTTGAAATGCTAAATTTTCCCTTTAAAGTAGATTACATTTTGACAGCTTAAAGGGTTAGTTCACCCAAAAATGAAAATTAGGCTGTGTTTTACTCACCCCCAAAGCATCCTAGGTGTATATGATTTTCTTCTTTCAGACGAATCCAGTCGGAGTTAGATTAAAAATTGCCCTGGCTATTACAAGCTCTATCATTGCAGTCAGTGGGTGTTGCAGTGCTTCAGTCCAAAAGAAGTGAAATAAAAAGCGCCCATCCATAAAAAAAAAGTGTCTCACATTGCTCCGGGGGGGGGAGGGGGATGAACAAAGGCCTCCTGTAGCGAATCGATGCGTTTTTGTTAGAAAAATATCCATATTCAAAACGTAATAATCACTTTAATCTAGCTTGCGCTCACTGTTGTAAACGGAAGCAGTTCCAGGCGGATGACAAATGAGGTCGGCTTTGCGCATGCGCCGCTCAGAAGTGACGCACGCGGAAACGCAGCGGAGAGATCAAAACAAAACAACGGTCACTAATTAGAAGTACAAAACGAGGATTTGTAAAGAAGAATGTCAGAGGATTTCGATATAAGCCAAGAGGAGACTGGTTTTCCTTTGCTAAAGTAAGGAAACTTTGCTTCCTTTGATCCTGTAAACAAACGTTGGTTTTCACGAGCAACGCAGAACTCATACGTCATGCTCCCGGAGCTGCTTCCGTGTACAACTGCTGGCGCAAGCTAGATTAAAGTGATTATTACGTTTTGAATATGGATATTTTTCTTACAAAAAAGCATCGATTCGCTACAGGAGGCCTTTGTTCCCCCCCCCCCGGAGCCGTGTGAGACATTTTTTTTATGGATGGGTGCTTTTTATTTAACTTCTTTTGGACTGAAGCAATGCAACACCCACTGAGTGGCATTAAACAGCTTGAAAGACCAAAGACAATTTTTAATATAACTCCGACTGGATTCGTCTGAAAGAAGAAAGTCATATACTCCTAGGATGGCTCTGAGGTGAGTAAAACACAGCCTAATTTTTGGTGAACTAACCCTTTAAGTCTGCACAAGGTCCATTCAAGTAATATCGGAATAACTGCATTTGTGAGATCAGTGTACATGAATGCTATCATAAAGTCATAATTACCAATGGAAAACTCCGAAGCTATTCAATTAAACAATAATGATGAAAACAAATTGCTTCATAAGCTGCAATTGTGAATGCTAATGGTACAAATTAGTTTGCATGCATTTGTTTGTTTATGAAAAGTAGCAATAAAGTTAGCCAGAAAATAATATTTAGCTGGTTTGTGATAAAACAGACGTGTGACCAAACTATATTTCCCAGCACATGTTAAAATATACAGATAAAAAAATATGAAATTGTCCACCATGTGTCAATTCAACCCAATCTGTATTTATAAAGCACATTAAAAAATACAAAGGAAGACCAAAGTGCTGTACAGGAGGAAAAAAAAAAAGATACATAAAACATTACATAGAAAAGACCATACTAAAAACAAATAATATAATACCCAAAATTGCAAACCTGTTCAAATGCCAATTAAAGTGTTAAGTCTGCTTTTAAAAACATAAAAATAGTGATTGGATTTAATCTTCACCCTCCACAGAAAAAGCACCAGGTCTGTTTTCTGACTAAAATTACTTGACCGTGTAATAATTGTGATGTGTGTTGGTTCTCTTCCAACTTTAATACATTTTGCACTAATGTCAAAAAATATATAAAACTTGCATCATAATGAAATTTTATTAGCAATGTTTTTGGTCAATTAACTTCCTCAGGCTCAGTAAATGTAAAAAAAAATGCATTAAGAATGCTTACAGCTGCTAATAAAGGCCACACCTCCAATTACACAGCTAATATAGGGGGGAAAAGTTCAAATACTCATTACAAATAATAAAGAAAAACAAACATAATTCTAGACCCAAATGAGCAATAATACAAGAATTTTAGCACAAAAAAAATGGAGAAAATTTGGTTCCATTGTTTAAAATGTTTTGCATAGTTTTACGATTTTGTATCTAAATAAAGGAACATTCATTTGGTGTTTAAATGCTGTGCATTGAATTGTTTTTGTCTTTTATTTCCCCATCCAGGAGCCAGGGGAATCACCGTTGTTCCTAACCCAGGCCAGAGGTTGTCGTGGCAGTGGTGACGATCCCCACTCAGGAACCCCGCTTTTATCTGTGTGAAAGTAAGGTATAATACTCATAACAGACGCTTTGGTCAGGCGGTGGAGTAGTTTCCACCAGGATGGCAGAGTTGGAGACAGAATGCATCACTTTAGGACTAAACAATTTGGTGTCGGAGTGCGGTACGCCCCCTCCGCTTGACCCTTTACAAGCAGAGTGCACCACGCCAACCCTGACCATGCTGTCGTCAGAATGTAGCACGCCGACGCTCAGCTCGCTGGCCTCAGAGATCGTGGAGCCCATGGCTATGCTGCCGTGCATCAAAAGCGAGCCCGACCTCGACCTCGACCTCGACCCCATCTGCACGGTGGACCTGTCTGTGATCCAGCCCCTGAGCACGGCCGAGCTGGGCTCCGAACAGATCAAGATGGAGATCAGCGGCCTGGACTACATCAAATCGGAGCACCACAGCGACCTCCATTCCTTCCACAGCACGGAGCTGGACTCCTACAAGTCACACTACGAACCCAGTCTGGTGTTCGACTACATCACTCACGTCTCGGACAGCTTGGAGTACATCAAGTCGGAGCAACATTCGGACCTCCACAGCTACTACGCCAGCGAGCTCGGCGCCATCAAGACCGAGTACGAGCCCAACCTCATGTCCAGCCACATCAAGACCGAGATGAATGGCTTGGAGTCGATTCACATGGCGGAGCTGCGCACCGAACTCAACAAGCTCCGGCCTGAAACCGTCATCGACAGCATGGGGAAAATGGACTCGGATTTCCAATCGGGAAACCTTTACGAACTGACGTCCGTCCAGGCGAGCAAAGCGACTGCCGCGCACAACCAAACCAGCACAAAAGGCCATGCGCCGACTCCACGCAAACCTCGCAACCTCACAGGTGAGAAGCCATTCTCCTGCACTCAGTGCGGGAAGAACTTCAGCACCCTGGGTAACCTGAAGACTCACCAACGCATCCATACCGGCGAGAGGCCTTACACCTGCTCCCAGTGCGGGAAGAGCTTCGGGCAGGCTGGTAACTTGAAAAGGCACCAGCTCATCCACACGGGGCAAAAACCTTACACTTGCGCGCACTGCCCGAAGGGTTTCACCAAAGCGGACGATCTCCGCTCGCACCAGCGACTGCACACGGGCGAGAAGCCATTCAGTTGCGCAGAGTGCGGTAAGAGCTTCGGCCAAACGAAGGAACTCAAAGCCCACCAGTTGAGCCACACGGGAGAGCGGCCCTTCTGCTGTTCACTGTGCGGCAAGAGCTTCACTAAAGAGTCGAGTTACCGCAATCACCAGCAAATCCACACAGGCGAGAAGCCCTACAGCTGCTCCCAGTGTGGCAAAACTTTCAGCAATTCAGGGGTCCTCAGAACACACGAGAAGATTCACTCCGGGGAAAAACCGTTCGGCTGCACCCAGTGCGGCAAAAGTTTCGGTCGCTTGGGACATCTTAAAGCACACCAGCAAATTCACACGGGCGAACGGCCGTACACTTGCCAGCAGTGCGGGAAGAATTTCAGCCAATCAGGTCATCTCAAAGCACACGAGCAGATTCACAAAAAAGAACGGCCCGATCTTAGCAGTGGCAGTAACGATAGTAGCTAAAAGAAACCTCATTATGTCTCAAAAGTATTACTCTTTTTTTTGTTTTTGTTTTTTTTTTATAAAAGCTACAATATATATAAATATATTATAAAATATATATGTTTCATTATGTTTTCATACCTTACGTCTCCTCTTCTTTTCTTAATATCTTCTTTTGGGTACAGTTGTGACAGATTTTCTCTTATGAAAGTGTCTATGTTTGGGATCAGTGAGCTTACAGAGAGTCTTTGTATCTTGTCTGATCAGTGTCGTAGTGAGTGCCATTCTAGTTTCTTTCCTCCAGTAAAATACTCAGTGTACACGTTTATTGATAATATGTAATTCTTAAACCATGTACTGGAATTAATTATTAAAAGAAACTAATGTAAAAAAACAACAACAAAACAAATCTGCTGTTATTTTTTTATTTAGAATTCATTGAGTTCCTGTATTTCCATTGTGCATTTGAAGACATTTCTCACCCATGCCTTTATTTACAGCAGTGGCTAACAAAATAGACGGAATACTTAATATAAAAGGGATAGTTAACCCAAAAATGAAAATTATTTTAAATTTTTTTATTTTTATTGCAAACCTGTATAAGTTTCTTTTTACTGTTGAACACAAAAGAAGATATTTTGAAGATTGTTGGTAACCAAAAAGTTGACGGTAACCATATGATGAGAAAAAGTACTATGGAAGTCAAAGGCTACTGTCAACGGTTTGGTTACCAACATTCTTCAAAGTATCTTCTTTTGTGTTCAACAGAAAAAAGAAACTCACAGGTTTGGAACAACTGGAGGGTGAGTTTTAATTGCTTCGGCCAAACGAAGGAACTCAAAGCCCACCAGTTGAGCCACACGGGAGAGCGGCCCTTCTGCTGTTCACTGTGCGGCAAGAGCTTCACTAAAGAGTCGAGTTACCGCAATCACCAGCAAATCCACACAGGCGAGAAGCCCTACAGCTGCTCCCAGTGTGGCAAAACTTTCAGCAATTCAGGGGTCCTCAGAACACACGAGAAGATTCACTCCGGGGTAAGACCGTTCGGCTGCACCCAGTGCGGCAAAAGTTTCGGTCGCTTGGGACATCTTAAAGCACACCAGCAAATTCACACGGGCGAACGGCCGTACACTTGCCAGCAGTGCGGGAAGAATTTCAGCCAATCAGGTCATCTCAAAGCACACGAGCAGATTCACAAAAAAGAACGGCCCGATCTTAGCAGTGGCAGTAACGATAGTAGCTAAAAGAAACCTCATTATGTCTCAAAAGTATTACTCTTTTTTTTGTTTTTGTTTTTTTTTTATAAAAGCTACAATATATATAAATATATTATAAAATATATATGTTTCATTATGTTTTCATACCTTACGTCTCCTCTTTTTTGATGAATTCCGAGAGCTCTCTGACCCTCCCATAGACAGCAAGGATCCTTACACAATCGAGGTCCAGAAACGTAGTTGGGACATCGTTAAAATAATTCATGTGACACCAGTGGTTCAACTGTAATTTTACGAAGTTACGTTGTGCACAAAGAAAACAAAAATAACAACATTATTCAACAATTCGTCTCCTCCGTGTCACCCTGACACCATTTTGGAGAGTATCACATACGTAAACAACGTATGTACGCGGATACGTTGTTTACGCATGTGATACTCTCCAAAATGGTGCCAGGGTGACGCAGAGGAGATGAATGTCCTAACGATGTCCTTACTACGTTTCTGGACCTTGATCGTGTAAGGATCCTTGCTGTCTATGGGAGGGTCAGAGAGCTCTCGGAATTCATAAAAATATCTTAATTTGTGTTCCGAAGATGAACGAAGGCCTTACGGGTTTGGAACGACATGAGGGTGAGTAATTAATGACAGAATTTTCATTTTTGGGTGAACTATCCCTTTAAGGTTGGTGTGTGTTGCCTGCTTAGTCATAAAAATAACTTTTTGTTTTAGTTTTATTGTTTAAGTGTGGCTATTTTGGGATTTATTGAGTATCTCATCTTTGACTCTTGCGGCCAATTGTTCAAACAGCATCAATTAAACTGTAAATTAAACAACTTCTGCACCTGTAGGTTTTGGTCTACCTCCAATCCAGAAAAAAATTGATTGCATAGATGTGGATGAATGTAAGTGGTAGAAGAACGAAGCTTCTTTCTCACTTCTTATTAGGTCTCAGTTGCTGTTTAAACATTTTGTGATTTTTATATTTACATGTCATTCTTATGAGTCATAAAATGTTTAGAACAATTTGTTGACTATAGCTCAGTCATCTCTGTGGAATTTCTTAAACGGAGGTTTTTGTTACAGAGAAACAGGGAATGCACATGCGTTTTCAATCAAATTGGGTTTTAAAAGTAGTTAATCCGCAACACAACGTAAAGTTTAATAGCTGTAAAAAAGTTCTCAACAGTGGAGTTATTTGGAGTTGAGAAATTGGCGAATTGGATGTTCGAGTATAAATAAAAGCAACGTGCATTCTTCCAAGAATGTAAAAGTTAGAAATGTAATCTTTCTCCCCATACATATTAATTTGCGGCATTGATGTGTGTTTATTTTAATGTAATTCTGTGGGTCTGCACATGTTTTATCTCCAGCACTGATGATATTTGCAGGTCCTGTGAGAATCACTGAACTTGTTTTGTTTGACTCCAAATAGTTATCACCTAATTGGTGTCCCAATAGTCTCCTCTTTCACAAGGTAGCCAGTCTAATATAGGCTTAAGTAAACTTAGCATAAACTGAAAAGATCTGGAGCCTTTTTTCCCTAGTTGTGCGTGGGTTAAAAATGACAGATTGCGGCAACACGGATGTTGACCTTCTTAAGTCAAGTAAAACTCAACATATGGTTATTTTTTTATTTTACAGGCAGTTTTTATTGTCCGTGCATGGCTTGTGTAAGTACTTCAGCTTCATTAATGCTAAATGATTCAGACGTGTAGGGAACAGTGAAATGAGTTGCCAGTAGCTTCATGTTTAAGGATGTGGACTGATGATACAAAACCACAAAGGCTGAATTCCCACTGAACTCCCAGCTGTTCCAGGGTAATTATCCATGCAGTTAGTGAACTAAATGCATCTTTGAGGAGTTGTTGCGGACAACCCGGAATGACTTCAAGCTGTGTTTTACCTAGCATGGTTTTCTGAGTCAGATCTGTATTCACTGCTGGCTGATATTTATGGTATTTTGCAACACTGAATGCCACGAGGATATAGCTTACTGAAGTGAACTATAAGGTGTTTTTAATCTAAAAGCTGCCATTTAAATGTTTAATACTGACCTAAAAGTGATGTTTGATTTCCAAAAGAGGTGAAAACAGTTATTAACATTTGTAGGACGCAACCGTCTCAGTATCATTTTCATATCCAGGATTAGGTCACAGCGCGGTCAGCTCATCATTAGAGGTTTGTCATCAACACTTCCACTCACAAGATAAAAGCAACAGTAAGTACGTTTTTACCTTGAAATATATCGTCTAATAAGTCGAAGTTGTCTTCTGTATCTTTCCCAAACGTCAGTTCTTGCAGTAAGTTTGAAGAGCGGGTACAAAATTCCGCGAAAAGGGCGAATTGATTTAGGGCAGCAACAAATGCACGTGTATCCATAGATATACATATCTATGCGTGTACCGCTATCCACGGTAATTACGACTGTTTACGACAGTTAATTCTACACATTTACCTAAGGGGCTCCAAATTGGCAAAAATACACAAAACTGCATAATTGCTTTATGGAACTACCTTGTAACCTGCATTTTCGTCGCTTTGCATAACCGTTTTTTTTTTTTTGGCTTCACAGATTTAACACTGGACGTGTAGCCTATTATAATCACATTACACATGTATTTGAGACTAACAGACTGTAAATGTTATGAAGTTGTTCATGAAGCACTGTTAATGTCTCCAAGACAGGTTTGCTTGTGAACATCAAGGATAAAACGGGGGGGAATGAAGAAAGCCAAACGTTATTCGACATTCAAGCGCCACCTGCTGTTTCCCTTTCGAAAATTAACCATGCTTTTATTATAGTAAAAACCTTGTTTTTTGGCGTATTAATTACCATTTGTGTAACCACAGTTTTACTAAAAATACCATGATTTAACTAGTTTAGCAAAGCCATGGTTAATTTGTAAAGTAAAACATGTTTTTTTTTGGTAGTAAAACCATGGTTAATTTTCGTAAGGGTTGTGGTATGTCTTTTTTTTATTTCATGAAAAATACAAATGTTAAAATGCCTAGTCTAGTGGATTGTTGGACGTAATGAAGATGTGACAAAAGTGTAAGAGTCATGAAGAACCTGTAAACGCCATTACCATTTCCCGATAGGCCTATTAGGTAAAGTCATTTTAAATCAACATATGAGATACTTATTTACTTCATAAGATATACTTTTATCCTATGTCTATTATCATTCAAAAAGTAAATGATAATAGATGGAGGATAAAAAAAAAAGATGAAATTAAAAAAAGATGTGTAATTATAGTGGCTTCCTTAGATATTGACTGAAATGCATACTTTCTGCAAAAAAAAAAGGTAATTTAATCACTTTTTTATATGACCTAGTCTTGACTTAATATGCATAATTTTAGAAAAATAAATGAATAAACTCCAGCAGAATAGAGTTTAAATGGCGTTTTATTTAATTTGGTTTCCAGTTTTGTGCATACTGCAAACACAAACAGGCATTACAGCCAATCAAAGTCTGCGACTGTCAGACATGGATGAGGACGTGGAGCTGGAGACCACTTTTCCATCTACAACCTCTTCCACGACTGTGATGACTTTTGTCCTCGAGGTGGAACTGAAGGTTGTTTTGACGCTGTAGAGGAAAAACAACAGTTAGAGGCTTTCATTTGAACTATAATGATAATAGTATAGTGTGTTCCTGGGACATTTTAACTGCTTTTTGAATGATTTGGTTCTGAATGACAGGGAACAGATCAACTCACGTGGCTTCTCCATCCAGCAGTCTCCTGTACTCAGCAATCTCCAGCTCCAGTCTGGTCTTGATGTCCAGGAGTATCTGGTAGTCCTGACGCTGGCGCTCCAGATCGGCACGGAGTTGGACTATCTGCTCTTCCAGGATGGTGACCTGGGAGCACAAAAAACAAGTTGTTTTGTTTCTTTAAAACGTTTGTTCCGCCATCTTTTAAGATGCACTGAATAATATCTACTTGTGTTCCACAGAGAAAAAAAAAAAGACATACAGGTTTGGAATGACATGAGGGTGAGTAAATTATATATCGTTTTTGTTAATTGCAATTCTACTCACCTGATGTTGGTAGCTGGACAGCTTCATGGAATAACGATTCTTGGTGTCGTTCAATGTGACCTCCAAAGACGCTTTCTACAGTAA